AACAGCTGTGCAGGTTGGTTTAATAAACCTAGTTGAAAAACATTCGATTTTTATTATGTTGTGCAAATTGAAATAAAAACCAAGTCTCAAATCAGTTTGAGTTTCAGGTCTCTCAAGAACTGTTAAGAAGAGTCTTCTCTAAACTACAGTTTAGTTTTATAAACCTTGTTGAAGAATAATCAATTTAATATATTTTAGAGTGGCAGGATGGCCAGCTATAATAATAACATTAATTTAGTTTTTTTTTTTTTTCATTTGTTCTTATAATTATTTAACCACAAAGGTTATAATAATAGGATTAAAAATTTATCAAATATTATGTTTTTATTAAATTGAATGTAATTAAAAATAATGAAATGTATTATATTTAATAAAATAATGTTCCTTTGTTCATTACTTTACCAATAATAATAATAACAATTGAGGAAAAATAAATTCTAGCAAATATAAAAATAGATTGCTAAAAATGGTTGAGATCTGAATTTTGTATTTGGAATTCGGTTTAAACCTCAAGTCAGTAGACCCACAGATCTGTGAATTCGGAAAAGCAATGTTTCCTTAAACTTTTCCAGAACATATCCACTATATCACTGGAAACAATAAAAATAAGCTTAACATTAAAAAAAAAATAAACAAAGATTCCTGAAAATATCTAAGAAAAAAGCTCATTCCTCTGTGGTAGGTCAACAGGAAAAATAAATCCTTGTTGTTGAGCCCTGGATTTTGTATTTGGAATCCAGTTCAAGCATCAAGTTGATTGCCTGAATCTAAGTGGAATCTCAAGCCAATTATCTTACAACTCAAGCACAACTTGAGTCCAAGTCTCAAGACTAGAATTTCTATCTCTGCCATACAGAAATGTGCATTCAATGTATAGCTTGGACGCCATGACTGATTAAATTGGATCACTGACAGATTAACAACAGGATGACCTGACTTAATCAAACAGCCAGCCGCATCAGAAGCTTACACGACCCACGGATCTACAAATTCAGACAAGCCTGCAATGTTTCCCTAACCTTTTCCAGAACATCTCCGATCCACTACATCACAGGAAACAATAAAAATAGCCACGCCATCCAGTCAAGCATTAAGAACGACAGCAGCGGGGGGTCCAGGGCCGGTTCGACTCCTTCCCCAACCCCCCTCAGCTTCCTGGGTCCTGATTGATCTCACGGCCCATCGGCAGGTTAAATTACACTGCAGAGTGGCTTTGCGGAGAGACAAAGGGCCCAGGATTTCACAGGCCATAATTCTTTCCGGGCCTTAACTTTGAAAATGTGCAGCATTCAATTTCAGCCCTCGGCAACACTTCGCATTTGCTTATGAGTTATGACACAGCCATGACGTTTTAACTTACTATACGGCCATGCAGAGGAGACCTGCGTACCAATCAGACCGAATGGAGGATGGGTGGGAGAAAAAAAAACACAAACTCTCTGTCAGCACAGAGCATCAGTTATAGCCAAATTTAATACAGTTCTTCTTCTGGCTGAAGCTAAAGACGAGCTGGATTCTTTCCACATCCTACTTGCAGAAAGCACTGAAGTAACGTCGAAATGAAATCATTTACATGTGCATTCATGTTTGGATCTCAGTCCGAAGTGACATCCAGGCTCCCATAGTTTCCTGGCACGTTGGGAATGGAGAGGAAGCCCAGGGAATGGCAGAGGCCTTTTGATACTGCAACTCTGCCGAACCAGCAACTCGGAAGCCAGGACAGCATGAGATCCGGAGAAAAAAAAAAAAACAGCCAAAGCACAAAAAGACCAGCTGCTTCGAGATCATGGGCGTCAGCGGGAAAAAAAAAAAAACGTCTTGTTAGAAAGAATATAATTGAACTTGTCTGGAAAGTAATAGCTTTTCCTAAAACTTCATGCATCTGTTTCACGCTGATGAAAATATACAGTGAGGTAAATATGCAACTGAAACTAATCTAAAGTGGTTTAGGAGATATAAGTCCTCATCGATGACATTTCCAATTTACTCTAGCTTAAGAATCTGCCCATATTTATAATCATACTACGTGATAAGCACAGCTTTCCAATATAAATCCACAAGCGAACAGCTAAAAAAGGCACCATGCTAAAATGCAAATCCTGATTGCCTGACAGGAACATTTCAAAACACTCAAGCTGTCAGTGAAACAACTTCGACATCCAAGAACCTACTAGATCTAAAAGTCACAGTTCTTTATAAGTCAAGCGTTAAGGCACGTCTTACTTCTCAGGAGGTGCCTCTATTTGTGCAATGGTTTAGAAACAATATAAAATCAGCAATATGAAGCCGCTGAGTTGTTTTAGAGTAAACATGAGGGGCAGCTACTGTAAAAAGTCACTGCGCAACGTCATTGAATGTCCTTCTAAAAGGAAACAAGTTACGATAGTTTTCTAATAAAAAAAAATGGGAGGTTGAATGTATGTCTCGATTAGCATAAGATATGCTGTTTGTCTCTGAAGACTTTTGATGAAATCCGCTTTACAAGAACTGGATATAACTAAACAGATCAATGCTCAGTTAAATAAAGTAAGGTAGCATTTTTCATCCCTGCTATTCCGTCTGTGTTAGTTGAAGATTCGTTTATTGTTTGAGCAATCACTCCTTCTTTATTCCGCAGTTGGAAATAGGCCAACAAGGCAGCAAAGGAATAATGGTGTTAATTAAGACACCTGTTCTTCTCAGAATTCACTCACCTAACCGTTGCTTTCAATAACCCCAGAAAATTCTGCTCTACATTTAAAAACTGATTAATAAAGAGAATATGTTCAGGTAGAATGTGCTTGTAAAAAGAGCAAGCATCGGGGATGCAATGCCGTTAATCAGATTGATTGGAAACGTCTTTACTGCTAAAGTGCAGAAGACAAGTTTGAGATCTGTCAAACCATGGGCCGGTATTGATGTTTGCACCACTTCAATCTCACGCAGCACCCATTCACATCAAAGCACTGAACTGGATGAAGACCTAAGCAGTTTTTTGTCTGCTGTGCTCTGTAGATTTAGACCTGAAATATATGCAAGTATATTAACGCTAATGCTTCTAGCTACTCGATTTCACACGTCAGTGCATCCTGGAATGCAAGTCCAAACTTCTACGGTCAGTTTTCTCCTTCAGGTCAACAACTGTCTTGATGGAGCAATAGTTTCTTATAAGAGAATCTTATAAATATATTAACTCTTTGTAATCTCTCTATTCTGATCGATTCAAAATATGGTTTAAAGGGATATATCACCCAAAAATGAAAATTCTGTCATTTAATTACCATCATGACGTTTAAGACCCGTTTATGTTCTTCTGTGAAGGACAAAAGAAAATGCTTTGAAGAATATAGGTAACCAAACAGTTTTGGTTACCACTGACTTCCACTGTATGGACACAAAAAAATAAAACACTGAGACATTTCTCAAAATATCTTCTTTCAAGTTCTACAGTAGAAAGTCAGTCATACAGGTTTGAAATTACGTGAAGTTGAGTAAATGATGACGGAATATTCATTTGATGAGAATTATGCTTTTAATAGCTCCCTTTTTTGATACTAAGGTTTACAGATTTGTGCAAATACATGTTAAATGAAAAAGTGCAATGGCACGTTCCAGTCACGTCGGATAGACTGTATTAAGGAGTTGATAGCATGTGAATGGCAGCACAAAATTGTAATTGCGAGTGGGAAACTCTCGATTTTTCTTTGAGCCCAGAGTTTCTGAGTTGGGGGTGTGAAAGTGAGAAAAATGGCAGACTATGAATTCAAAATCTGTAGTTGATGGTAAATTTGTTAAAGTGTATAAAGTTTCATGTACAAAATATCATTGTTTTGTACAATTACGAATATTTATTTATTGTTTATAACAATTCCATTTACAACACCTTCATATATTCAATGAAGTAAAAACACCCGATATGCATTCTTCATTTTGTAAAAGTAGAGTTAAAAAACAATGCGGTATTTTTTGTAGAAAAGGTACGTCGCCATCTTGTTCCGATCAATGTGATTTGAATGTGCCTGACATCGTAATTACAACTTCCCAACTCATAAATACAAACTTCCCAGGAGGACTTGGACGCACAGTCATTTCTGTCCCACTAATTTCAACAAACACTGAATGTTAATAAATGCTTCCTCAAACTATTGGTCAGATAAGCAGATCGTGGTGCCAAAAACTGAACAAATGTTGGGCTGAGCAATGTTAAAAGTGCTATGTTTACACTTTTTCGGAAAAATCAGATAGCAAATGGATGACTGGTAGGAAAAAAATCGAATTTTTAACATTTTTTGGTATTTTTAAAAGTTTAAAAAGTATTTACAACAGAGTCACAAATGTAAAATGATTACGCTTTTATAGATTTGTAGTCCTGTTGTAAATACCTTTCAAAAATACAAAAAATTATGCTAAAATACTTTTTTCAAAAAAAAAAATAAAAAATACAAGCACTTGCATTGTGCACAAAGTATGTTTCTGACCATATTAAATGTCTGAATTAACAATGAATACCTTATTTGAATATGTCAGTCCTGTAGTTACATCATGACATGGGTAATCCTAGAACTGAAAACCATCTGTAAGTTTCCTCTAAACACCTCAGCATTAAACAACTCTGACACACAGAAAATAAACTGCTGCAGGGGTCAAGGACAACACAGAGGAAGCGTGTGAAGCTAAAGTACACACTCGGTTCGTGACGCGGAGCAACGGTTTTCCAGCGTATCCATAGCCAGTGGGCATTACACCGCTTCAGATAAAGTCTTAGATAGAGGAAGTGGAAAGTACTGAATTTGGGCTCGAAAACGGTGACCTCACAGATTCTAATCCCACATCTCTCTTTGCACGCTTCCCTCTGAGAGGAACTGCCAGAGGGGAAAACTTGAAAGCTAAAGAGAGTGAGGGAGGGTGCGTGAGAAAGAGCGTGTGTGTGAGAAACAGAGACAAAATGACATGCAAAGAGGAAAGAGTGTAGAGAAGCGGGGGAAAAAGCACAACAAAGTCACATCTAGGTGCTGGCTTACCTGCACTCAGTTCACAAGACGGGACGGTGAAGTGAGGATAGTCAAAGGGGTTGTGGGAGGAGGGTCCGGGCGGGTTGATCCAGCCGCTGACGGGTGGTCCGGGAGGGAGGAAGGAAGGATGGAGTGACAGGGAGCAGGGAGACGGGGAGGCCAGAGGGGGGATATGAAGCACTAGTCCTCTGTCTTTCCCTCTTTATCCCTCTAGCACAGAGGCAAAGAGGCAGACACCAGTACCTGCAGCCACTCAAATAATAGGAGAGAAAAGAGTGCTCACATCCACACACGCTCCAGCACAGGGAGGACAGAGAGAACGCCCCTCCCACTCCTTCCCAGGACCCAATCGCACGCAGACTTCACTGGCAACGAATGGGAGTGCAGGCAGCCGGTGCAATGCCCTAGCCAATAAATGCAATTGCTCATATCCAGTTGGAATAATTAGTCCGAGAGCAGAGCAGAGCGGCTTCCCTTCTGAAGGACAGACAAACAGGCGCACTTACCCAATAAGTGTGATTTAAGACCGCAACCGACATTAGAGTAATTAGATTGTGCCGCACTTAACCTAGCAGAATAACGCTGCATGCTCCACTGCAGAACTGGCAGAGGCACAGGCTACACGGGATGGGCTTTGGAAAGGTGCAATGATGTTAAGCAGGCAGAAATGATGCGTATAGAGAAGGAGAAGGAATAGGAACTTTTAACACGGTGATCAATGCGCATGATTATCACGCAGTGACACTTTCAGGCTTGGCGCTTCGCTCCCGAAATTCATAATCAGGGTCAGAAACGTAAAGAAAAAACTAAAAATTCTAAATCAAATTCAAAATGTTGGCCAAACAATATAATAAATTCCTGTTGTTTTTTAATCATTATTATTATTATCATCATTGATTTATGGCATCTGACAGTTCTTAATATGCATTTCTCGGTCTGGTTATGCATATTATCACATACTCTACGAGTTGAAATTGATTTCATTTTAAATGAACTGATCAAATACTATTACATACATTCACTTCTGTTCAAAAGTTTGGGGTACAATTTTGTTTGTTTATTTGTTGTTTGAATGAATAAAAATAAAGACTTTTATTATTATTAATTTAATCAAAAGTGGCATTAAAAATGTTACTAAAGATTTAAATGAATACATATTTTATTAAAATAAATATTTCAAATAAATGCTGTTTTTTTCCCCAATTTTCTATTCATCAAAGAATGCTGGAAAAAAAATAATGGTTTCCACACAAATATTAAAAAGCAACACAATAATAACTGACAAAAATAAGAAATGTTTCTTGCGCACCAAATAAGAACATCAGAATGATTTCTGAAGGATGACACTGAAGACTAATGGCTGCTAAAAATTCAGCTTTGCCATCAAAGGAAATTTTTTTATTTTAAAATATATTCAAATAAAAATAAATATTTTTTACTGTAATAATATTTGACACTATTACTGGTTTTACTGTATTTTTGGTTAAAAAAATGCAGTCATGGTTAGCATAAAAGACTTCTTAACAACAAAATTAAGACTTCTTAATATGAAAAAAAAATCTAACAATTTTTAAAAGAATCTATAAAAATTCAAAACTTGTGAACTGTAGTGGTTTTAAATATATACATCTAGATATATTTATTTAAATATATTCATATAAAAAAATATAGAGAAATGCACCTTAATATCAAGTCTGGGGTGGCAAATATTGCCTGTTAATCAAGAAATTAATTTCTGACTTTTCTCACACTTTCACTGCATAAAACCAAAATCATAGACCTGGAACAGAGCTCATTTCACAAGACCTTTTTTTCTGTTCTCCAGATCAATACTCTGGCTCAGGTCTCGGCTTGAGAAATGATCAATGGTGAACTGTTAGAATGACGAATGTAATGCACATCGGCCAGCATTATCCCCTTCACAGCAGGAAGGACCGATGCGGGGACAGAGATGTAATAATGTCCTATTAACAACCGCAAGGAAAGCACCTCCATATACTTTCAGGATGACAAGGTGGTGCTCAAAGTGGCGAAACTTCTCTTAGCACCCGATTCTGCTGCCGTCCAAACAACCAGGCATTATTTCAGGGTCGGGCTCCCGAGCCATTCTCGGTTTCTCAGAAAAGTACGTATACTTCTGCTCAGTGAATCTTGTGCAGAGGTGAAATCGATGCACCTATCGATATCATGCATCACAACATGGGCCGACATGCATAAAATGAGCAAGCACAACCCTATGATGATTCAGCAGGTGTTCGCAAACAGCCCTCCCAGACATCACATACAACAGCGTATCAGTATTTACAAGTAAAACAGTTTAAACACCGAGTTGACAGCGACAGTGAAATGTGCTATAGACTGTGGCACGCTACAGAGCGCAGGGCTTCCTCCAAGAGGACTGGGTGGGAGAGGAGGGCCCATAAAAAATGCATGAGCAACAGGAGGAGATGTCACATCGAATATTTTTCCAGCTGCAGAGATACTGGTGTGTGGAGAGCCGCGAGAGTGAAAGGTACAAGTGAACTCCGGTCTAAGAAGTGAGGGGAAAAAGCACTTAACTTCCACCGCTAAACCTGCCAAAACCATTGCCGCGCTGTACCAGCAATAACAGAGATTTAGACGTAAATTCATTGATGCACAAAAGATATAATGGCTTATGTATGGCTTGATGCGTAAATATCCACAATCACTATAAAAAACTAGTATTTATTCAGCCTGTATATCGAGGCTGTCATCACACTTACTGCCCCAGTGATTTACATTCAGTCTGAGACACAGATCTGTTTCATTATAAACGCATTTACAATGGGGTTTTGAGAGCATGGCATACCACTACCTAAATCTACAATTTCAGAAAGATATCTCATCAAATATTCATTAATTCTGGAGTACAATCATGCTTTAAATGTCATGCTTAGCAGGGGAGATGGGCACCGCTTAGGCAAGAGGATTTATAACGTGTGGCACTTATAAGTGGATGTCATTATACTGGGGTTTGATGTCTTTAAACAGTGACTGGCAGTAAAAACAAACATATGTCGGCATCAAACAGAAATAAATAGCGGTTTTGTAGTTTTAAATAAAGCGGAATAATTGGTTATTGGCCTGTTACATTTTTTAAGAATTGCAACATATAAATCCAACCCAGGCTCTTTGGGAAGCATGCCTGTGGCGACATTTCTGCAAAATGATGTTACATTGGTTCTTGTACGTTTTGCGACACTTTCAAAGAAAAATAGCCTTGGTTGTGCTAAAAGCAATGTTTCGTTATGTTCATTTTTGTACATATCGGAGCATTTTAGAAATGAAATGTCTAGTGAGTGGCTCTACAAGATTAATGCTCTATCATGTTTAAAAATAATGTGCCACCTACACTAAACCTAACTGACAGTTTTAGCGAAAACAAAGGTTAGATAAAAGCTCATTTATTGAAGAAAACATGCCATTATAGCTTGCGTCGACAAGTTCTATTAGTCTGAGCTTTTTTTATCGTGACTCATGTTTCGCAGGACTCCCTGCATTGCAAGTGTAATGCTGTACCAGGTGAGCTATCGAGCAAGTTTACTAAGTCAAAAGTAAGAAAAGCCATACAAATAGAGCTGATTATGTAATGCAAAAACATCAAAATGTATTACGTTACAAATTCTGCACTATGGTAAATGTTTTAAAGTCAAAACATCTGCAAGGAACCATGTGAAAATAAATAAGCCTTTGTTATTTGATAATCTGCCCTGTAATTAATTTGTGTGAACAGGAATAAAAGTTGTTGGTGCTTTACTACCACTTGTGGTCATTTCAGCTGAACCTGCAGTGAATTGTACGTATAAATACGTGTTTGGAGTTTTGCAAAAATGTAAACAGAGGCATGTTTTTCCAGTTGCAATGCAGTTTGACCCTCATTAGTTTTTGTTTTATCTGGCATAAGTGACATGAGATGATCAGATGATTGGATTGGAAATACTAAAACTAAAACTTCTGAAAGTTACAGTACGTTTTTATAGCACAATCAACTCTTTATCTCAAAAGATAAGGGAATTTTGATTCCTAATGATATGACTCCTTTAATGCTTTTTAAAACATTTTCATGGTCGGTAAAAATATCTATGGATTGTAAATCACCTCCACTGACGCATGAGTGAGGCATAACATTCATTTTGGGTCCTACTCATATGGTTTAGTAACCTTGACAGTCTGTAGATTGCAATGACTATGATTTCATTGTTAGTGCAACAAATAAGACGATATTTTGCTCAGTATAATTTTGAGTAATGAGGGCTATCATATTTCCATAGCCATTCTTGTGACATCTCATTGACCGTTTTGGCAGCTTCATATGCAAAGAAGAGAGCGCAAGATAGTAAAAGAAGTGGCAGCATAAACCACCTCCATAAAACCAACAGCGCTCAGTGGCACAGCATCTTCATTTCAGTGACTCACAAAGAAAGCATAAACACAGCAAATCTAACAGACATGGCTTTGCCTCCGCTACCAATGTAATTAAAGCCAACATCTTGTCCTGCTCTCGTATCATTACCGTCTGTAGACCATTTGGATGCGCTTTGTTATTACTTACTTGCTGCTAAATATAGATTTCCTGTGCCAGCGCTAGAGATTGCAGTCAGCTGCAGATTGTTCCCCGTGTTTGCAGTCCCAAAGACTTACGTGGACACTATATCACTCGACAGGGGGGCAACAAGCTCTTTTGGATCTGTCACCCCTTTTTGGGGGGGGGGTCAGTATAAAAAACTGATTTCAAAGAATAAAAAAAATGAAGGCTTATATTTAGGATACGTCAGTGCTGTATTAACTGTTATGCTTATATACTAGAAGTAAAAGCATGATTTCGATTTTATTTGATCAGAAATTTTCCACATTTTAGAATACTATTAAAGCAAAAGTATGAAATAACACAAATGGATGTGTAAGAATTAGTGATTGGCAAATCAACCAGTTTCATGAGGTGGTGCTTCTCCCTTACTATCCAGTCAAACTCATCCATAAAAAGTTAGTGTCATAAAAATAAAAATAAATCACATGTAGGCACAATATATATTTATCCATACAACTCAATTTAAGCTTAAGCCTGTATATCAAAAAGTCTGAGTCACGACTCAGAAACTGACGACTCAGAAACATAAATGTAATTTTCATACTGTGGAAACTAGTTGTCACATTTTAATCAAGTGAATTTCTTAGGTTTACTTTTCACTTTTCTGTATAGTCATATACCTTAAAGTCTAAGGAAATGCTATTGAAGAAAGAATTACACATTG